GTTCAGTCAAGAGTGAGGAAAACCTCCAACCCATCAAGGGTCAATTTAGTGACCAATCAGGATTAGAGATGTGATCACCTGACATGGACTACATTTCCCAGGATACCTTAACTACATTTACCATGATGCCTTCCCTTAAGGGAACAGCTCATAATTGCTAACTAACTTTCCAATTCTCATACACTGGCTGGACAGCACAATGATAGTGGCTGGATGGTTCCAGGAAGTACCACTTTGGACATATTAAGGACACAATTTAGTGAGGTATCATTACAGGACCAGTCGAGTTGGTATGGAAAAGAGAGGTACGCTGGTCCCTCTGGATCTTCAGTAGCATCTCGAGGCCCTTTACGGAGTTCCAGCCCAATGGACATTCCTGGGGGTTAGGAGCATTATGAAGCACCATCTGGATGATTCCTAGAGACTATGGGACTGGTTATATCCCAGAGATATGGAGCTTCAGGATTGCCTGGAAGAAGTCAATCAGATATTTACACTACCCGATTTGATCAAGATGGAGCAGGGCATGGAGATGAGAGGCAAGATCTCACCAGGTTTGGGGGTGGCTTAGCCCCTTGGGGACCACAACAGAATAGTTGGGGACCTCCTCAGTTACAGGCCACATTTGATAGAGCATCAGATAGGGTGGCGGTTTTTATGGGCCAAGTAATTAATCACCTTGATTTATATGGTAGCTTATATCCTTCCCATTGGGTCATGATAATGGCCATCACAGGAGTATTGGTGAGGGAGGCTGGAGAGTGGGCCGCAGATCTGCACAGAGAACATTTTACAGTATTAGCTGATGTTGCCCTGTTCCTGGAGGCCCTTAGGTCCCATTTTGAGGATAGTTCTCAAATACAACAGGCTGAGGATGCCTTGCTGTCTATAAAACAACGGGGTAGGGCAGCAGTAGAATATGTGCAGGAATTTAGGAGGGCTGCCAGATGCCTACAAAGCTGGCCTGAACATTTAATTATCTGTCTGTTCCAGGAAGGGTTGGATAGAGATCTTTGCCAGGCCTGTTTGTATTGAGGTCTTCCACCAAGGATACAAGACTGGTATACTGTAGCTATTGAACTGGATTCTGGGTTGCGTCGGCTTAAAGGACAGGATGAGGTTGGAAGTAATAATCGGAGGGAATTATTGGGAGCTAGAACAACTGCCCCATCAAGGCAGCCTCCTCAAAGAGGTTGAGGGGTATTTACCTGCTTCCGTTGTAAACAACCGGACGCAGAGCTGCCAAATGTCCAATACCTCCTTTGACTGTTGCCAACCAACACAGAGGTCACCTAACAGAGGGAGTACTTGCTCTAATCTTAAAGTCAGGAACGTTCCAAGGCGTGATTCAATTGGCGGCAAATATGGAACCAGAGCGCTCCCCTGAAGAAGTGCCACCTATTCCTGTGAAGCCTTTACTTTTAGACCAGAAGGAGGAGGAGGCGGTGGATGACCCGATGGTAAGTATGCCCATTCATCCTTTTGTCATTTCGGTGGTTCTTACTAATATGAGAATAAATCAACAGTTAACATTTGGGGCATTGATTGATTCTGTGTGTACATGATGTTTGATTACACAGGCAGTGGTGGACAGGTTAGGTCTATAATCACTGCGATTGAGGAAACTAATACGGTTTGAACAGGTGGATGGTTCCATTTTGGGAGATACTTCTGCCACACATAGGACAGAAATGGTGAGGATGGATATCAGACATCATAGGGGAAAAAATCTCTTTTGTGGTGGTCATTCATATTGCAGAGGCTGTGCTTTTGGGGCTATCGTGGCTTGATTAATGGTGTACAACTATTCGTTGGGAGGGAAGTTTCCGGAAAATACATTTGGTGATGGGGCCCAACCCGCAAGAAGACAATATAGCAGAGAATATATCACCTAATACAGTGAAGACTTTAGGCGAACAACCATAGAAACTCACGTATCCTATAGAATATACCGATTTGGCTGAGGTATTTAACAAACGTGGGAGTGCTCAGTTACCACCACATCATTCTACTGACTGCAATTGAGCTACTGCCGGGTATGAAATTACCAAAACCCCGAATGTACTCTATGACCCCTAAAGAATTGGATGAAATGTGTAGGTACATTGACAAAAATCTGGAGAGGGGGTTTATTAAATCTGGATGTGCCCATATAGCGGCCTCAGTATTATTCAGAGAGAAAAAGGACGGTGGGCTAAGACTTTATGTTTATTTCAGGGGTCTTAATGCGGTGTGTGTAGAACCGCTATATCCTTTACTGTTAATCAAAGACCTGTTAGCTACGTTGTCAAAGGGACAGATATTTACAAAACTAGACTTAAGAGAGGCATACTATCGAGTACGTATACGTGAAGGAGACAAGTGGAAAACAACATTCAATTGCTGACTTGGTAGCTATCAATTCTGGGTCATGCTATTTGGTTTACAGGGAGCTCCTGTGGTATTTATGCAGTCATTAATGAAATTTTGCATGACCATTTATATAAGGGAGTCTTAGTATATTTAGACGATATGCTAATCTATTCCAATGGCATGAGTACTCATATACGACACACGCGACAAGTTTTTAAAAAGTTGTTAGAGGCACAGATATGTCAAATTGTCTAAATGTGAATTCCACTGTAATCAGTTAGATTATTTAGGATATAGGATTTCTGGTAATCCTCTGATTCTCCCAAAGGATCCACCCCAAAGGAGGATTCATCAGAGGATTCACCCCAAAGGAGGGGAGTGCATTTAAGGGGGTGAATCCTCCTTTGGGGTGGATCCTTTGGGAGAATCCTCTGGGAAGCTTGGTGCTAAGGGTCTATAGGATGATTCCCTTTCTCTTCTGTTTGGATTGGAAGGTTTGCCTCTGCTCGAAGGGCAAAGTGGATAGATGGTTCCCTTTTTAAAACTACTGGGAGGGGTGGGGAGGAAGCTGCCCAGCTAGTCTGTATTCTTAGGGAACTGACGGAGGAAATGAGAGTAAAGAAAACTTAAATAGGGGGAAAAGGTCCATGGGGGGGGGGGTTCAGGCAGCTGGAGCAAGAGGAGAGCGCCCGACCATACAAGGGACAAGACCATGACTCGAAGCTCTGGGGCGGGAAGCAAAGCAAGGCATGGGGAGGAGAGAAACGATGGCATCACCCTCCCGCCACTGCTTCCACCCACCCAACCTCGAAAGACTCACTAACTTGCAGGACCTTGTTGACGCAGCTGTCGTCAATCAAAGCGATGCCCCTGCGGGAGGGCAGGCGGTTGTCATCAGAAGTGGGGTCTGTCTCACCACTGCTGCTGTTGTTGGAGATGCCAGTGCTGGCGGGAACTGTGGAAGCTATGGCTTCCCCGCCCGAGAAGCGGCTGAAACACTGCCGGTGGAGGAATGCGCAGCACTCCAAACGCACGGGCAGAAGGGAATGCAACAGCGGCAGAGGAAGCAGCGGTGGTGGGTGTGATGCAAAATGCCCCACTGCCACCGAGGCTGACATCCACACCGCTGCCGCCTGCCCATTGACCCGGCCTGCACCCAGAACCATACCCTGGTCTGCATCAAAGGCGCTTGGCGTGCGTACAGAGCTCTCTGCGTTCCGCCATGATCAGCCATTAGGAGTGGCTGGTGACGAGGTGTGGCTGCCCACGGGGCGCTCTAGGTGAGGGTGCGTGGGGAGGACAAATTAAGTCACCCTAGCCGTTTTTTCGGGGGTCAAAAGAAAATAAGGCCCGGCCTTATTTTCTGAGAAACATGGTACCTTTTACTCAAGTAGCATATGATAACGCAGTACATAGTAGCACAGGACACCCCCCTTTTAAGGTTGTATATGGAATGGATTTCGTAGCTGTACCTGAATTACCTGAGACGATGGACAATCCTACCACTGCTACCCCCTGGTCTACGAAGATCACAGAAACTTGAAGAGACGTACATGAAGCTATACATAAGGCATTTAAAGCTTATAAGACACATGCCGATAAGAAACGGAGTGATCACCCACCATTTCAAATGGGAGATTTAGTATATTTGTCCACCAAATATCTGAAGTTGGGTGTCCATTTAAAATTTATAGGACGTTTTACCATAAGTTGGGTGATTAATACTGTTATGGTACAGTTGAACTTACCGCCACAGTTCAAAAAGGTCCACCCAGTATTCCATATTAGTCTCATTAAACCCGGAAGACGTAATCCCAATGATCGGTTACCTGGTCCAGTGAAGGCAGATCATTATGAGATAGTGTCTATTCTTGATTTACGCATATATAGAGGAGGTCTACAATATTTAGTAAAATGGAAGGGATATCCTTTAGGTGAGGCATCATGGGTTGGCCACATCAATGTTAATGGGTTTGTTTGCAAGCAAATTTTATGTGACAGACTCAGGTAGCCGATGGCAGAAAGATAGATCTCTGAGTGAATCTGTGATTCTGTGAGCAACTCAATCTGCCTGCCTGCTTTGCCTGCTTTTGAGTAAAAGTTGCTCTTTTTTATTAAAAAAACCAATATTTACATCAATATTTATAATATTTACATACAAACCATGCCCACCCAGTCACATGACCACCAAGCCATGCTCAGTCAGCAAACCACGCTCATCCAGTCACATGACCACCAAGCGACACCCACAGAACTGGTTGTTAATAAATTTGAATCCTACCCCGACCAAGAGCATTTACTTCTTAGCCAAAAAATAAAAATACATTTCAGCGTGTAATAGGAAGCAGATCTGATACTATTTTGTATAAGCATGAACCAAGCCTGATGTTGGCATATAATTCTCTGTTTTATACACCATTTTATTCTTTCTTACATGTGTGGGAAATGTATTCTTTCTTCCTTTTAATATGATGCAAAGCAGTACAGAGGTATGGGTTTACTTCTTGAAATACCTAAATTAGTCTACTATATTATTTTACAACTTTTTCAGTTTCTAATGAAATATGGATGTAAAACTTACTTTTTGAACACAATGTTAACTAGCTTCTAGAATAACATTTCCCTTTTTTTTTTTTTTGCTTGTGCAGACTTTGATTAATTTACTAGGAACTAGAGAAAATAATGTGCTAGTAGGTTCACTGCTTGCTCTCACAAGCTTGGCAGAAAGGTAAGCTTCAGTTCCTTGGCTTTGTTTGATTACTTTCATTTATCATGACATCGTCCTCTTAATGATTATGACAAATAAATTTAAAAGAAAACATTTTTTGTGTGTGTTTATTTCTGATGTTCTAATGGAGGCATGTTTGTCCTCTTGAGCTGTGTCAGGTGCCATGTTATACTCCCAGACACTAATTTGCCTGGGTATGTAAATATATGCAGACAGATGCATACAAAACATGTTACCCCAGCTTGCATGTATATGTATACATAACTACATGGTCAGATTTTTTTATAGAAATGACTGTGAGTGCATTTTCACATAAGTAATTAAATTAATTAATGCTTAAATAAGGTGTTGATTGCAACATCAAATGAAAATTTTCAGATATGAAACTGTAGTATATGGGCAGTTTATATATATATAAAATATTATTTCCAATGGTGTTAATTTATACATTCAGTTACATATCAAAGCATCTACAGTAAGAATTTTATTCATGTATATCTTGTGACAATATTTTCTTAATCTGCTTTTAGTTCAGATTTATATTTATGATTGTTGTCAATTAAATATTGTAGTAAAATAAGGGAGAGAGTAAAGAATTAAATTGGGGTGAATGAATATGGACTGAATTCAAAGTTTAATATTTAGTATGAATATAATATGTTGAGATAATTGGGTCGTATGCAGGTAACCCAAGCTTTACAGTCACTTAGCAACTGATCAAAGTTACGACAGACCCCTCAAAAGCTACCTATGACCTATTTCCAGAGTTCTGTCAGCTGCATATATCTCCTCCCCCATCACATGATTGCATTTGGGGTGCTTGGCAACTGATTTGCCTTTTTGTGATTTGCTGTGATTTTTGATGATTTCTGACCATTCTGGATAGTTTCTAGCAAAAAATAGGAATACATGGATTTGCTTAACTACTGCAGAATTTATTTAGAAATAGTGCATTCACTCAATGACTATGCCATTTGCTTAATGATCGCTGTAAATAAAGTAATAAAATGGGGTCAGTTACATGGGTGTCTTGACTTATGATGATCATGATTTATGATAGAAATTTCAGTGCCTATTAAGGGCTTAAGTCAAGAATTACCTATAGGGACAATGAAATGTGGACTGAATTGCAAAAGAATAAATGAAAGAAAAGTGAATGGGTCAAATGGAACAGGAAAAAGTTGTAGTAAGACTTTCTTCCTGAGGGAAGAAAGAGATAACAATTTTAAAGAAATAAAATAATATATGAAGTAATGGAAAAATGTGGTAGAATCACAGATGACTTGAAGAGTAGAAAATATGGTAACTATAGAGAATGGTTTGTTGTATATTGCTGTTAAATATTACTGGTATAAGCTATGTTCACTTTGCCTTTTAATTTCTTTGGATTTCTCTTTCTAATTTTGTTTCTGCACTATGCATAATGTTACTATGATGGAACAAGGGGGATATACTGTTTATATTAGTATGTACTTTTGCCATACTTTAAATTGTAATAATGCAGTCGAATAAGTCGGTAGATAACTCTAGGGAATCTAGTATATATTTTTCTTCGTTCTAAAACAGCTTATTTGAAACAAATTAGAATTTCTTTATTAAGATGCATGATTGAATTAGTGTAGGGTAATGTGAGGGGCATTTGTTTGTTTATTTACTTATTTATTTACTTATTTATTTGTATTGGTCTAACTACACTGTTTAAGTGAGGTACAGACATCCTCAATTTATGACCTCATTTGTGACTGGAATTTCAATCATAAGTTGTGATGATTATAAGTCAATGCATGCATTTTACTGGACACAATTTAATGACTGTTTTTATGGCAGCTGTTAAGCAAATCATGGAGCATTCTGAATTATGTAGTTATTAAGCAAATTATATGATTGTAAGCCTCAATCTACTCTCCCAAATGGAATTTTTTTTACAGAAAAGCAGCAAAAACACTGAAAACTGATTAAAATCACTAACAAATGAGCATAAAAACATTGCAAATCATGGACACATGACCGCAACCAGTCATATGTGTGAACTAGTTGCCAAGTGTCCAAAATACAATCATGTGACTGCAAGGATTGGTCAACATTTTATAATGGGTGGATGTGCTTTATGGGACCAGTCTTAAGAACTATATGTAGAAAGGCTTGAAAAACTGTGTTACCATCAAGTACTACTGTTGCAAGTCACCCATGTGCTTATCTTTTACATATTTTAGCTGTGTGTGTGTGTGTGTGTGTGTGTGTGTATACAATTTACTCATCTCATGAGATTGGAGCCAGATTTATGTCTACTTAGCATTAGTAAGATTAGTAACTCTATTAGCAAAATAGAAAGATTGAGAAAATCTGGATTAAAGTAACTGTATTTAAAAGAAATGAAAGCTAAATATAGCTATCTTAAATCAAGCTACCTTAGGTTACCACCAAGAAAAAATAATGGTTTTGAATAACAGATCCTTGCTGTTATAAGTTTGTCTTCTAACAGAATATGGAATAAAAGAGTGGAACTTGCAAAATTGATGTTAATATAATATGATAAGACACAATTTTCTCCCACAGTCCAATAACAGATATATACCTGGTATATATTGCGTTCATTAGATACACAATTCATTTTGTTTTAAGACTTAACAACATTTAAGGAACAGACCTGGGCATTATCCTTATGACTCAGAATTGGTAAAAATTGGTTGAAAGGTCAAAAAAATAAAGTATCTTATTTAATAAAATAAAAAATAAAGAGAGACAGAGAGACAGACTATAACTATTTCATAGCTTCCCAGATTAGCCTCGAGATAAAGTAGAATAATGTCCTATCATTAGCGTTGAAGTAAAATTGAGGTGCCAGTCAAGCAAACTTCTGGATTAACTACCTTGTCTTTCAGCTAGGACAGCCAGTGATCCATGCTTAAAGGCAACAGGTGTGTGTGTGCGTGCATGTGTGTGTGTGTGTATGTATTCTAATATATTTGCTTTCAAAGGGAGAGGCTATCATTACCAGGCATGCTGTACCAACTCTCTTGTGTTTTTTTATTTCTTAGTAGTGTCAGAGACATAATGTAATCTGCTTTATGAAACATTTAAATTATGGGCTCTACCCATGACCAGGAGTCCAATTTTAATCATATTAAAGATTCAGTGTGTATAAATTACAAGGTCATTATGGAGAAGCTGCTCCAGAATTAGATAGCTTATAGTTTTCCCAATTTCATCCATGCCAACCCAGGAAATAGAGTGAAAATTGCTGAAGTTGGGGTTCAGTGGCTCCAATATTTCATTTCTCTTAAGGAAAGCAAATCATATATTATTGACTCTGAAACTTCAGAAAACATACATTCAATGACATACTTCGGATAATATTCAAATTCAGTTCAGTTTTCAAAAATAATCTCCCTAATGTTTTTATTGTAGCCCTGAATGTCGTGAGAAAATAAGTGAGCTGAATGTTGTCGAAAATTTATTGATGATATTGCACGAATATGATTTGCTCTCTAAAAGGTAGGATATGTCATTTTCATATGTCAATTTACTTTTGTGTTGATGACTTCCAGATATTTAGTTAGTATACATTCAAAGAATTCTATCTCTGAAGTTGTTCACTTAAAAGTTTTAAAGTATAATATGAGGGAATCCCCAAATCTGACATTATAGTGAGATATCGTAATACCTTACTTATTGGAAATATTTAGTGGAAGTATTAACCATGAAAGGGACTGAGTTAAACTGATAATGCAAAAATCTGGTTTGTTTGTTTTTTAATAAAAGTTTTTATTTTTTAAGACAAACTTATACAAATAAACCATAAAAACATAAAACCATCTTCCATTTTATATATATACAGTGTGTCAGTTGGTTACAAATATTTTGTGCTATCCTTTCGTAGTCATTACTCACAGTTTATATAATTTTCACCTTGTCAAAGTAACATATGCTTATATATTTATCAGTTATTAATCATCCATGACTGAACTATTTATTCCATCATTTTATATGAGATATTCCAAATTTATTTTAAAATTTATATTGTACTTTCATCCAATGGTTATATATGTCTATATTGTATTTTATATCAATCTATTGAATTTCTATTATAAAATTATCTAATCTATTACATTTTTGTCCAACCATTGATAAAACAAATCCCATATCATATAAAATTGCTTGTCTTCTTGCTCTCTAATTTTAAATGTCAATGTACTCATTTCAGCACAGTCCATAATTTTCTTAATAACTTCCTCGTGCATTGGCATTTTATCATTTTTCCAATTCTTAGCAAATACAATTCTAGCCACTGTTAGTGCATTTACAATCAAATATTTCAGCTCTTTATTGTATATTTTCAGTATAATTCCCAATAAAAAGATCTCTGGGTTAAAGTCTATGTGTTGTTTTATCATTTTTTCCAACCATGTGTGGATTTTAGTCCAATATCTTTTTGCATCCGAGCATGTCCACCACATATGGTAATATGAACTAGGTATCCGGTGACATTTCCAACATTTATCTGATTTGTTCTTAAACATTCTCGCAATTCTTATTAGGTGCCACCTGTAAAACATCTTATACAAATGTTCTTTATATGCAGTTGACACTGTCATTTTATAATTTTGAGACCACAATTTTTGCCATTTCTCTAAATCCCATATCCAAAATTTTCCCCCAAAACAATCATCATTTTTTTGACTTGTTCTTCCTCCAACTTAAATTCTAATAAATGTCCATAAAGTTTTTTAATTACCTTTTCCTCAGTACCCATCAGAATTTTGTCTAAATCAGTCAACTTATCATAAATACCTTCTGTTTTAAAATCTTTGCCAAATCTAGATTGTATTTGCAAATATGAAAACCAATTCATTTTTACACCTTGTTCTTCCAATGCTTGCATAGATTTAAGTTCACCCTTTTCATTCAATATCTCACCATATCTAACTGTTTGTTCCTTTTTATATATTATTGGATAAGAAAAAGCTTCAATAGTAGATATCCATAATGGAATTTTTAAGTAATATTGTCTTTTTATCTTCTCCCAATTCAAAAACAATGCCTCTCTAATGTAATGTCTTCTAAAATACCCCTGTGTTTTAGTTCCCTTGTATCAAAGGAAAGCATGCCATCCCAACAGCAAGTCATGCCCTTCTAAAGTCAATAATCTACTGTTCCTTAATGTTATTCATTCCTTTACCCACATCAAATTTGTTGCTTGATAATATAACTCCCAGTTAGGCAAGGCAAACCCTCCTCTTGTTCTTGCATCTTGTAACAGTTTTAGTTTTATTCTTGCTTTTTTACCCTGCCAGATATATTTCAGCACAATTCTATTTAAGTCTTCAAAAAACTCTTTCCCTAGTCGAATTGGAATTGTCTGGAATAAATATAAAATTCTAGGCAATACATTCATCTTAATTGTAGATATTCTCCCAATCAGTGATAGTTGTAAGTTTTCCCATTTTCCCAAATCTATCACAATCTGCTGTTTGAGTTTAAGATAGTTATCCTCCTTCAGTGTGCTGCACCTTGGTGTAATATATATCCCTAAATGCTTAACCTTATTTGTGACCTGTATTTCTAAAACTTCTTCCAACTCTTTTGTCTTGCTAACATATTCTTTGTTAATATCTATATTTTATCTTTGTTTATTTTCAAACCTGCTACTTTTCCATATTCTTCTATCTTTTCTATTAATTTAAGTGCTGTTTCCAACGGGTCCTCTAATATAAATACCAGGTCATCTGCAAAAGCTTGCAATTTATGCTCTTCCTTTTGGATTTTCATTCCTTTTATTTCTTTATCTTCTGTAATATTCCTATTCAACACTTCCAATGTTAACACAAACAGCAGGGGCGACAGTGGACAACCTTGCCTTGTCCCTTTTCTTATATCTATAGATTCTGTTAGTTCTCCATTTACCATAACATTTGCAGTTTGTTCATAATATATAGTTTCAATTGCTTGATTGAATTTTTTACCAAAGCCCATTTGTTCCAATTGCAATAACATAAATTGCCACCTCACATTGTCAAAGGCTTTTTCTGAGTCAAAACATCAAAGGTATTTGCTTCTCAGGATGTGCCTCATAGTATTCCAAAGTGTCTTTGATTTGTCTCTTTGACAGAAATCTATTTTGATCAGCATGGATAAAGTTATTTATATATCTTTTCAGTCTTTCTGCCAAGATTGAAGCAAAAATTTTGTAGTCTGAATTTAGTAGGGATATAGGTCTATAATTTTAACTTGCTGCAGGTCTGTATCCTCCTTCGGTATAAGTGTAATATATGCTTCTGACCATGTTTTGGGTATTCTCTTCTTTGACATCTTTGTTCGTGACTTCAAATAGGGGAAGATTCAATGTTTCCTGAAAGGTCTTGTAAAATTTTGCTGGCAATCCATCTGGACCTGGTGCTTTTCCAACATTCTGTTTTTTAAAAGCTTCTGTTAATTCCATGTTCCCTTCTAGCATTGTTTCAATATCTTTGGGTATCTGGGATAAATTCACTTTCTGTAAATATTGCTTAACTTTTTCTTCTTGAATATTTTCTTGATAATACAATTTTCCATAGTAATCTTGTATAATTTTCTTCTTCTCCTCATTTCCATAGCAAACATGTCCTCCTTCATTTTTTAATTGACTAATCCTTCATGATTCTCTTTCCTTTCTCAATTTATAGGCTAACCATCTGCCTGGTTTGTTTGCATCTTCAAAGTAATTCTGTTTAGCATTTTTAATTTTCTGTTCTAATTCCTCTTTTTCCATTAGTCCCATTTTATGTTTAGTTATATCCATTTTAATTTTAATGTCTTTTTTTTGCCGGGACTTATGTAATTCTTTTTCCAGTCTTTTATAGTCATCTTCCAATGTTTTGAAAGTCTTTTTCGGTTTTCTGTTTCTTTTCCTTGTATAGTCTATTATCAAGCCTCTTGTGTAGGCCTTCATCGTGTCCCAGAGATTCTGTAAAGATGTATCCTCTTTTCTATTTTCTTCAAAAAAGAAAACCAATTATTTCTCTATTTTTTGTTTGAAGTCTTTTTCCTTTAATTTCATATTATTTAAAGTCCATCTAGATCTCCTCTTTTGTCCTTTCCAAATGACTGTCATTGAGTTGTGGTCTGCCGAAGTGCTTGTTTCTATTTCAATTTCTCGTATGTTAGCAAGTAATTCTGTTGACATCCATATCATGTCTATTCTAGACCATGATGCATGTCTGTTTGAGTAAAAAGTATATTGCTTGTTTTCCACATTTCTCTCTCTCCATGCATCTTTTAAGTTTGCTTCTTCTATCATTTGAAAGAAAGATTTTGGTAGTTTTCTTTGTTGATTTCTGCATTTTGTAATCCAACCGATAATTATTCCATTGAAATCTTTCATCATACAAATATTAGCATAGTCCAGTTCAATTATTTTCATATGTAATTTCCTGTAAAATTCTTCTTAATTGTTGTTTGGAGCATAGATTGCAATTAAAAGTGTTTTAACATTATTGTCCATTATTTCCACCATCAAAATCCTTCCATCGTCATCTGTATAAATTAGTTCTGCCAAAATTGTATCTCTAATATATAAGACTACACCTCTTTTTTTACTTTGTGTCAGCGATGTGAATAATTTCCCTAATTTTCTTTTGTTTAAATATATATTTGTGTTGTTTTTTGATATGTACTTCTTGTAAGCAAATTATGTAAAATTTTAATTTATCTAATTTATGAAATACTTTTCTTCTTTTAGTAGCCAAATTAAGCCCATTTATGTTAATCGTAATCAATTTTCTTTCATCCATATTAAGCTTTATAAGAGGGTTTTATTGCTCTAGTAGATCTTAGTTCTCGTTGCTCTCTGGGTACACCACCTACTGCATCTTCTTCTTTCTCTTTTTCAATTACTGCTGTACACTCCTCTTGAAATTCAATTAACGACTGTTCTTTTCTTGTGTCTTCCTCCTTTCCTCTAAGATATTCTAAGTAGAATAACTCAGCTTTTTCAACTGTGTCAATTCTGTGTCTTTGTTCCTGCCAGGTGAACAAAAGGCCTTCTGGTATCAGCCATCTGTAATTTACTCCTCTTTTAAGTAACTCTTTAGTCAAAAATAAATATTCTCTTTTCATCTCTCTTACTCTTCTTGATACCTGTTTCAGCACCACAATTTCTTTATCTTTGTACTCTAAGGTTTTCTCTCTTGCCACCTGTAGTATCTATGTCTTAATAATCTTTTTAGTGAATCTAATATGAACTTCTCTTGGTAGTCTGTTTCTCATTGCGTATCGTGTATATACACGGAACACTTCATCCATCCCATCCATCATCTTCTCTTTGGTTATCTCTAACGCTTCTGCCAGTATTTCTATCATTATTTCAGCAAGGTTTTCACCTATTCCTTCTACATTTTGAAATCTTAGATAGAATTCTGATCTGTCAATTTCCCATCCTAATGGTTCGCATCTGTGCTTCTCAATATCACTCAATCGAGTGTCAATATCTCCTATTTTCTTATCCCTTTGTATATCTTCTTCAATTTTCTTAATTCTGTCCTCATATTTCATCATCATCTGTTGAATGTTCTCTACTTTCTCATCTGTCTTTTCAGTTCTTTGCTCAATATTCTCAGCTCTTTGCTCAATATTCACTATTCTCCTTTCAATCTTATGGATTCCTTGCATAATCATCTGCAATGTCACTTCCTTCTCTTTCTCCTGTTGTAGCATTGTCTGTATT